GGAATGAAAAAAACAGATTTCCAGCTTGATCTTACAGAGGCCCTACTAGCTGTCAACTCCTTATAACCTCTTGATAAAGAATTCAAGTAGGAGATAACCAAATTCTGCACTACTTGAATGAACTAGAGCTCAACTCTTCAAAAGCATCTTGGATTTTACAGCACTGTGACATGACAGACTGGAAATTTAGCCTCAATTCCATTTAAAGATAACAAGTGACTTGCAATTAATAAGGAAAATATCACAGGGAACACAGTTGCTTTCATCTCACTTATTGTGATATTGCATTGGTTTTTTTCGACTATTTTGTCAATCTTGTGTGAATTACCTGAGCATTTGTACATAGTCAACACACTCCATTTGCTGCCAGAAACTGCTAGCAGCAGAGCAGAGCAGAAACATGAGCTTTTGACACCTGGTGAGGTGTTAGAGGGTAGTGTGAAACAAACATAATTACCTGGTTATTCCTGCCACAGTGATGAGCAATCAAATCTGCTAAAACTGTTGAAAAGGAAATTGTCTTAAGGTTTTAGCCTCTCAACATTTCAATGGCTGGATCAATCCACATGACTGGCTACTCTTACTGAAGACACCATGAGACTTAGGAGAAAATAGTCAAAAAAGTCTAATGCAAGAGCAGTCAATGAGTTCTTTCTATATTAACACTGTGCTTTGAAATTCTTCAAAGCATCTGCTTGGCAGAACTGTGGACTTCAAGAATAATTCATACTGAAGTGCAAATAATAAAATAACATTTGCTGAGTTACCCACACTTACCATGGGAAGAATGGCTGGAAGAGTTGGAGACACATCCTTCCACTCAGAGCACCACAAGAATAGACTCTGAGTTGGTATATCCAGGTTGTAACATCCAGTTCCAAAAACTGTTCTTGGGAAGAAACCTAAAACTGAATCTTGAACAGGACAGAAATCCTCCCAAGGAACTACAGCAAGAATATTATTATATTGGAAGAAATATGATCTGAGCTTCAGGGCCAAAGGCTAAAGACAAGGGAGAAGAAAATTGTCTTGTGAGTGGATTGTGATAAACTCCAGTGAGACCTTCTGGACTCCATACATGGGAACCATTTCTGTCTCAGTAGGTACATGGGAGCTGGACCTGTCACAGGGAATATGTTGTTTTACACCAGATAAATAACAAGGCAGTCAAATACACAGGGAAGGATTTGGACAAGTAGAAAAAAAGCTGCACATTATTGGGAGTATCTGGGGCAGTTCAGGGAAAAGAATAATCAAATAGGAAAATCAAATATAAATATTTTCCACGGGTGAAAGGTTTTGATGCACTCTTCTGCAGAAAACTTTCCAATTGTGAGTGCCTATTTACATTAAATCTGTACGAGCTGGAATTTCTGAGGCACACAAAGTCCCAAGATATAAAAGTCCTTGGAGGCCATAAAGGGCTCAGGAAACACATGGAAATAACTGGAGGCTTCCAGCCACAAACCTTCTGCGCCAAACTTCTATTTTGCCTCGTGAACTCAAAGGGCTAAACAGGCCAGTGCCTTGTTCTGGGGCTCCTGCTATCAGAAGAAAACTGAAACAGTCTCTTGAAGCCATTTAGGCAATGAAACAATTACTGCTGCTTTTAATATCTTCTTGCCCTGGGCAGCCACCTGTGTCGCCGAACACACATATTGCAGAGCTGGCCCTGGCAGCAAAACACAGTGGGTCAGGCAGTCTCAGTGTCACAAAAACAATGAGAGGAGATAGCACAGCTGTGGAAACCTGCCTCAGGCTCTCTGGCTTACATGATTTTAAAGGAGTGTTTGCAGCACTGACAGTTATGGACAGTTTTCCCACACAAAACTATTAGAAAATGGTGTGTCCACGGCCAGCCCTGAGCCCCCAGACAGCTTTTACTTTATCAAGATTAAAGGAAGAGGAGGCAGCTGGGGCTAATAAGTTGCAAATCAATGCCATTAGCAAAGAGAGTAAAGAAGAAAAAAGATCCAAGCCTTGCAAAAGCTAAAGCTTTTAGCTCTGCCTCTTGCTGTGCAGAAAATGATTGTACAGTTGTCCTAGTTCTCCTTGGATTTGTCCTCAGATTCAGGGAGATAAAAGATACATAAAATGTCTGAATTTCCTCTTTATTAAAATATAGGTAGCTCACACATATGCAGCTGTATGTATACACATGCGCACACATTTCTTTTGCTATTTAGTGCAATTGGCTTTGTATCAGACCTTGCATAATAACTTCAGTATTTAAGAAGAATAGCATTTTGGATTGGTGAGGTAATGGAATTAAATTCCATAACCTTCTATGACTTGCCACAGGCTATGGAATGACAGCACAAACCCACTTCATGGCATGGTATCTTCACACCTTCAGAGCGAATGACACAGGGACCAGCAAACTCAAACACAGGCAGGAACAACATTAGCATGAGATCAGCTTTTCTGGAAATCTGTTTCAACAGATTCAGTCTGTTCCCTCTGTTGGAGAGCTCTGTGCCATGAAACCCATGAGCATCATTTCTGAGTTCAGCCCAGGCTGCAGCCATTCCCTCTGCACTGACTGGTGCACACACACACCTGGAGTCCCTGGGCCTTGTGTCCATTTCCCTGACTGGCTTTATCAGCCTGGATTCACACTGCACCAGAAACTTCTAAGGAATAGATACAAAATTAAAATTATTACTTCAATAAGAGAAATGGCAACTCACAAAACTGTTTTTACACTTAGCAATTTGCTTGGATTACTCTGTTTCACACAGTGATTTGTTTGGATACACCAATGCATTCTGCCTTCATAATTTGTCTTAGTGTGTGAAAATGAACTGTCACACATTTCTCTGAGCAATATTCATTTATGTGCCCATATTTAAATCTCCTTCTCAACATTAATTTAGACTGTCATACTTTAATCTCTCTTGTCACTCCCTGGCTCCTTTGCAATTAAAAAAACCACCCACCTCTTCCCAAAATGAACAGCGAATTACTATTAAACTGTTTTTACACTTAGCAATTTGCTTGGATTACTCTGTTTCACACAGTGATTTGTTTGGATACACCAATGCATTCTGCCTTCATAATTTGTCTTAGTGTGTGAAAATGAACTGTCACACATTTCTCTGAGCAATATTCATTTATGTGCCCATATTTAAATCTCTTTCTCAACATTAATTTAGACTGTCATACTTTAATCTCTCTTGTCACTCCCTGGCTCCTTTGCAATTAAAAAATCACCCACCTCTTCCCAAAATGAACAGTGAATTACTATTGCAGATTTTCACCTAGCTTTTGTAGAAATACACTTTCTCCATTGATGTATTTCCTTTCTTTGTAAGCAATGATGATTAACACATCAGACAGTTGTATGCAGAGCTTTTCAATAGCTCTAATGAGAAAGATACTTTTTTCCACTTTCTGCTAACAAAAAAACCCACCTGTATTGTATTGGTTATAACCATTAAATACCATTACAGAAGAATGTAATCAGATATACAAAAGCTATGAGGTTGCAGTGTTGTGAATTCTGGAAACTCAGAAGAAGAATCAAAAATTAAATACTTTATTTATAAAGTACCGACATTATTTTTTTTCTGAGAATGATGGAGGATAAGGGAGAATGGAGCTCAGAGAAAGACCAAGCAAAGAAGAGCAGGATATCCATGTCAGCCAAAGTGGAGAAAATGCCTTGAGTTCCCAATTTGCTTAGTAAACAAAGAATGCCACTAGGACAATAGCTTGACTGAATGTCATCTGGAAAATTATTCCATAGAGAAAGATTTTGAGACCAATAAGAAATCTGTAGAAAAACACTAAAAAACACTAAAAAAAATAAAAAAAAGAGGAAAAGAAATTTATGAGTGCAAAGACCTGAATGGTTTCAGAATCAGAGGGAGTACCAGTGCATTTGAACCAATTAAAGCACTGGAATGGAAATTTTGTTTTACTAGTTCTTCCCCTAGCAAGCTGAGTAGTATTCTTTAAAACAAAGCCCCTCTCAGTGGCCTAGCTCCCTGTTCCCAACCAAGATACAAAGCAAATCTGCTTAGCATTTATAGCAAGCTGAGTAGTATTCTTTAAAACACAGCCCCTCTCAGTGGCCCCTCCCTGTTCCCAACCAAGGTACACAGCAAATCTGCTTAGCATTTATCCAAGGCTGAAAGCAAACTTACACCCAACCAGGAAACTGCAGTCTCCAAGCACCAGATTTAGAGCAGTGGCATTTTATTGTGTATTTAATGAATGACATTGAGAGAAGGACAGGTCATCATTTGATAGCATTCTATAAAACTCCAAAGACAAACTGAGACTATCATAGTTCAAAGATCAAGAACTTCAGCAAATATATCCACAGCAGGGACTTGGCTGCCAATTGCAAAAGGAATATGCTCATCTTTATTACCTCATTTCCCTTACAAAGGAGAATGTAAGGCCTGGAATAAAAACATACTGGTCTAGATCTTTGCTACCAACAGGAACACTCAAAACCAATTTTCTGCTGACACAGATGTGTTGCAAGTCAGTCTTTCTCAGCTTATCACTTTCCTCATAAGGAGCTTCTCCTGTCTGACATGAGATCAGAACACCAGCAGAACAGTGACACCCCTTGATGTGGGCTGTTCTACATATCTTCCTATTCCTTTAGATGAAAAGTATTTGATTTATGCCATCTGCAGCCAAATCAACCAATTTGACCCAAAGTTGCCTAAGTTAGAAGGCTTTAATAAGGCTTCTAGTCACTTTCCAAATGCAGGTAAGATATTTTATGGCTATTTCCAGAAACCAAACCTCTATAATTCAGCACCATATATTACCTGCTCAGCTTCATACACACACAGGTGTTTCCTTAACTTGTTAATAAAAGCCATTCTGCCTTATTGTAAAAGCCAAGTCCCCATTTTCTTCTTTGATTTTTTCAGAAAGAGGCTAAAAGCATAATAAAATATCATCCATTTATTTTATTTTCTTCCCATCATTCATTATTTGAACAAATATATTAGCATACTTAAAATACACTCTGAAACTGTGATTTTAATATACTTTATTGAAAAAAGTACACAGTTTAAATTGTTTTCAATGGGACAAAGCAATGGTCACCTCTATCTACCAAGTCCTTTTTTGATGAATCATGACTGCCATATGCCAAATTCACATCTGCACGACTTGCAAAGTAAAAAGATAAATCTTTTTTCAACATATCTTTAAGAATTTATATCACCAACAGTTTAAAATCATGAAATGCTGATGCTCTGACTATATTTCATGTCCTCTATGTTGCACCATTTCCCAGTTCACAGTTTATCCATGTTTTAGCATGCCAGTTGAACACATCAGTCAATGTCACCTGGAGAAAATCATCAATAGCAGAGGAAGAAGAACAAGAGAAGGTTTAGCACTAAGGCCTGAGACACCGCCACATTCTCTTGCATTTTCCTAAAGAAAATAAAACAACAACAAAGGAAAATAAATACAGGCCACTACAGTCAATTATGACACATGCTTTTTTAGCAAACATAGGCATAAGAGCACTGATGCAAACAACAAATCCCATAATTAAATATACTCGGGAAGTAATACAAGTACACATTTTGAGCTGAACAAGTTTAGGTTGTAGACTGAAAAACAAGCACTACACCATCCCCTCCACTTTATACTTTAGGTTGCATTACATAAGCAGAGGCAGAAATTCAGAGGCAGAAATTCAAGTTACTCCAGAGTAAAAAGGATGTCAATGAACCCGGATGTCAATGGCTGTACAAGCCACTGGAATCACATCCAGGTCTCTGTCAGCTCTCCTTGGCTCTGTGAGAGCATTGTGCAGAACACAGAGCAGTAAATACATGTAGTGGAGGGGTCACTATCTCTCCCAAGCAATATTACCTGTGAGCACAATGACTATAGCAAGACAAGTGTGATACTGAAGCTAATTACTGAAGCTAATTACAGCACAAAGTTCCCAGCCATCTCTAGCAAGGAATCCTGTGGTCACTGCTTGAGCCAGAGAAAGTCCTCAGATATTCCTGGCTGCCAGTGCTCACACCCTACCACACTCTCTGGCGTGACACAAACCAGTCTGCAAAAACAGCAACTCAAGGCATTGTCCACATGAGTACAAAAAAGACTTGTAGCACTTACAATATCCCTCACTTCCCTGACTACTGAGTCTTCTGACTATTTCCCAACATTTCATCTTGGAAGATAGTTTTCCTATCAATCATTTTTAAAGAAATAAAAAATTTACCAGAGTCGAAAAGAAAGGAAAAACAAATAGAAACTTACTTCAGGGTGAAATCCATGACAAGATTCTGGGCGTCTTCTTATCTTCTGAGATTTTAACCGTTCACATTTAAGGGATTCATTATGTACAAGGCAGTTAAGGAGAGATGCTCTGAGCATTGCATTCTCTTGGGACTGTTTTGAAATGAATACAGTGAATTTCAGCTCCTTTCTTCCTCCCCATTAAAACCCCAAGGTGATATGTGTGGTCACCACAAGGAAAAGAGATTCTAGTGCTTTCCTCTCTGTGATCTGTGTTTTCAACAGCATGGGTGCACTCACACTGCTGACCTGCAATAAAAACAGACTGCAGGCTGCTTGTGACAAATTCCAATTTATGGGAATAAACTAATCCTGAACTACCTGAACTACTGAACAGCAAAAATTAGGAACTGGGGCAACCAAAAAAAATCAAGTGATATATTTTCTTTGCTAGATTTTTATAGTTTTGGAAAGCATGATTCTGAAACATTTTCAACGCTCCAGTCAAACCTTAAATAAAGAGATATCTGTATTAGAGTGAGTTCTGTAAGTTCCAATATAATGAGGTCCATCCTTATAAGAAAATTACATACTTAGTGCCTAATTTGAAAGATGTTCAGCTATCTAACATCTTGACCATGACCTTATGCTACATTAGATCCATGTAAGTGTGCTGACTTAATTTATATTGGCTGCTCAAAAAAGAAAAAAAAAAGTGAATTCTCATTGAAAAAGTAATGAGAGCATATTCCCAGATGGCTTAATTTCAAACAGCACATGTAACAGGTGATGATGTAATTCAATGCAAGTTTTACGTGATAAAAAGTTTTCAATATTTGCACCTTGAATCTCTTTCTGACCAGTTTGTAAATAAAAGGATATATCTTATTTCTATAGGTGCCATGGTAATTGGTGGGATAGAATCACAGAAGCATTCATTATCTACTACCACCATGAAGAGGTTGCTACTTGGGATCTGCTGGATAACAAAAGACCTGAAAATTAAAAAGAAAACAAATAATGGTGACATTGTCAGCATTTAGGAGCCACTGGTTCTTGTTAGGAGTTTATCAGACTTTTATGTATTTACAGTCTGGAATGGAACAGATCTACAACACTAATGAAGGTTCCTCTGCAGCCACACACTGACAGCTCACATCCCCAAACTTGAGTCCCTACAGTTTTATCAGGGCCTTTGTGCACTCTGGGTCTTGCTTGAAGCAACAGCAACTCCTGATCTCAGCTTTCATCTGTCCTCTGGAGAGCCATTTTATTACTGAGCCAACAAAACAGAGATTAGACCTCAAAATTTTCCAAAGTGATTTATTTTAGAATAATGACTATCTGGTATAAATATGGTGATAACTCAGCACCACATTCAAATGAAGACAAAGTAGGCAACTCGAAGGGAGAGCAAAAAAATGAAGACATTTTTTACAAGAAGGAAATCACCCAGGGAGGGATCCTGTGGGCACCAGTAAAAGATGCACAGAGTCTCAGTGAGCTGAACCCTTAAGCACATACCAAAGAGAAAAGGGGCAAAAGGCAGAGCCAGATAGACACTATTTAGCCTTTGCTTTGAAACTCAGCACACAATACAAAGAATGGCTTTAAGTTCAGACCCAATTCTTTAAGAAATTTTGAAACAATCTGTTAGAATTTGTACACCCCATCAGCAGTGTATCGGCCATGGCAAACATCACTGAAATCTGGCAACTCCAAGAATTAGGTGTTTTGCAGTGTGGTTTGCTGGTAAATGTACAGAATGCTAAGTGAGGGTTTGAGCACCAAGAAGATGTGGAGAGAAACATATTTTTCCTCAGACATCTTTCTTTAAAATACATATTGTCTTACTATAATAACTCCCTGCTTTTTCCAAAGATCACAGAAGATGAAATAGCAGAGAGGGCAGGGAATATTTAGACCTAGCCTAAGAAAAAAAATTTGGAAAACTTAGTATAAAAATGTTGCCAACGGAAAGATTAAATGCTTTTCAGTATTTTTTAAACTTACTGAACCTCCATTAAAATTACACTTAGAGTGATCTGCAATATGTTAACTTTATGTTTATACGTGAAATATACATTTATGGCATAATGTAAAAGGCTGAACTTTATAAATGTACCTACCAAACAGCTGGAGCATGTAGCAAGACTGACATCATTGTAATGGAGCATCTGTGGCTTTGTGGATTTGTGTGTGGGAGAAATGGGGCCAATAAAAGGAAAGGAGGAAAAATCTTTAGCAAGCAATAGCACCAAAATTGTACTGCATGAATTTCTCAAAACAGCTATGAATAAATCAAACAGTAAAGGATAGAAAAAACATTACTTTTATTGCCAGAAATTGGCACTATTTGCATTTTCGTGCAGTCTGAAACTTATATTCATTGTATCTTTAAAACTAGCTCAGAAAAGAACCTGATGGGCTTTTTTAAAATGCTTTAACAATTAATTGGATGTTAAATGATTAATTTCTTTATGTTGAGAAGGGAGTAATTACTCTTCTGTTTTACCTGTGGTGTGCCCAAATTCAAGCCCTTCTGTGACAGACCTTTTTGTGACCCCCCAGGTGGGCACTGAATTCTGTGGAAAGCATGTACCCTACAGCCAGGTTAAAGGTGCCAGCTCATGAAAGCTGAGCAATTTCCCATTCTAATTCTTCTTTCACTCAATTTGAGGTGCCACAAGGGCTGTGCAGTATAAGGCTATTCCTTCCTCAAACTAGGGAGGCGGGAAGAAAAATTCCCATCACTTCACCTAGCTGGGATGAAAGCACTTAATCCAGAAGAGTGTTTCAACTACAGAATTATGATGATGAATAAATTACTACACAGCTAAACTATGAAGTCTAGCAAAATTTTCTGTATTGCTTTATTACTGCAAGACATCATAATTTTTGATTTCATCAATTTGGGGAATGCAGTATCTGCACTGACTGATGGAAATTATGAATTAAAGGCAGCTCAAAAAGCAATACATTAGTTAAGTAAAAACCCCTCTGCTATCTTAGGAATTATATCGTAGGTATCAACTAAGTACATTGACTCTGTTTACCAAATATTGTCTATTCTTACAGACCTACAGGTTGTTTAACTGGTACAGAAGTTTGTGAAGTGTCTAAGCCTATGGTGGCTGCCACAGAGCATAGGACTGTTATAAAGAAACATAAAAGACTGAAAATTTTGGCTCTCTCTGGTATTTTTTTTCCTTAGTGCACAATAACAACTTCAATAATATCTTGAAAAGTGAAACAACTGGCTTCTCATCCTCCCACTAGAAGTAATCTTAAAAGATGTTTTCTTCCATCTTCCAAGCAGTATATGGATGTTTGCCCTTACACAATTCTCAAACAATCTGCAAATGAAGTTGTAAAGCCAACATAACAGCAAGTGAAGACAGAGGATTCAAGACTGAGATTGAGCTGAGCAAATAAATAAGGGCAAAAAATGTCCATTTTAGCTTTCTGTTCTATTAATAGTTTGCACAAACAAAATATACCTCTTTCAGCCGCTGTAATTTAAGATCATTTCACAGTCATGAGATATTCCTACCCTCACAAGATGAGCGGCGAACAAGTTTGTGCCAGTCGTAACCACCACGGTTGCTGCGTGAGTGTTCAGATAATTCACATGGCACTGCTTCCATGCCCAAACTGGATAAAGCACACAATCATCCCAGCAGCAGCTCTGCTCTTTGAGACCAGCGTTCAGTTCCCATGGTGACATGCATATGCATCTTTGAAATTCATTTTGAACATTCATGCCAGTAAGTCTCAGGAACCAAACATTCAGAGAAAACAAAGGTGCACAAACACAGTCAGACCAAAGCCTTTCAGAGACTGAGACATTCCACCAAAATACTTCACTGTGCACGCCAAGGCTCTGTTGCAAGGCAGAAAAACCTCCAGCAAGCAGCTTCCATGGCTGCAGGGAGAAATGAAGTCGCTGACAAAGTAGGGAAAATGGTATTATCTTTTTGTGAGATCTACTGTGAGTCTCTAAAGGTTCTCTTACAATAACCAGCTCTGAACACCTGCTGGCTTAAGCTGGCATTTGTGTCCCTGCTAATATGGAAACCAACTCTCAAGGACTGAGTCAGGGGTCTCTAAAGGTTCTCTTACAATAACCAGCTCTGAACACCTGCTGGCTTAAGCTGGCATTTGTGTCCCTGCTAATATGGAAACCAACTCTCAAGGACTGAGTCTTTGAGTTGGCTGAAATTTAACAAGCAAAAGAAAGTCTATGTTTAAGTGCTTTATTATTATAGAGAATGTTTCACATTTAAAGGATAAAGGTCTTCTTGTTTTAAGTAGTGAAAATCTTTTGATTTGAATCATTTTCCTTTACTGCAGTATCATCACCATCATTCTATGGGGCAGCAAAGGAATAGGCTTGCAAATATCTCCAAATATAAAACAGACTAAACTGTTGGGGTTCCTGTAGAAGCTACATTGAGTCAATAAGAAGCTTATTAATAATTTCTCCTCCATCTTTCATCCACTGAGGAACTAGCTTGGTTTATTTGATGTGCAGGTTCAGAGGCTTAAAACAGACCTGAAAACAAACTGTTTCTTGACTTTGTGGGGAAGGTGAGGAAGGAAGAAATTTAATACTTGAAAGGGGTAGACAGAGAGGGAGGAAGAAAATCTAGTTATGCCAAACTATTTTGTTAATGAAGAAAAAATGACAACAGAGTTAGTCTGCAAGGAACTCTGTATTTTGAGTCAGAGTGTTACATGACAATTTTGTCATATTGAATACACAGTATCTGTTTCTTTTTAACCTCTTTTGGTTTTGATCCATATAAAAAAATGAGCATGAATAAAATGCAAACAGATTTGGAAAAAAAAAAGAAACAAAACAGCTTCGTGTTTTAATTGGAAATAGAAAATATTTGCTCAAAAAGCAATACTTATTAATCTGTTCCTTGAAAATTAATTTTTCATTGTGCAATTATAAAGAAACTTGGACTGCAAGTTCTGCTGTGTTCATAATTATATTAGGTAGTCATGCTTCTGAAGGCATGATAAGAAAGCACACTTTTAATGTGTGTCTGGTGGCTAAACGACTCTTCCCACAGATAATCAGCTCTTTCCAACTTCTTTAGACAACCTGTAACTTGGAAAGCATCACAAGAGCACTGCAGTGCAAATGCTGGGGTGCAATCACACCTGCTGCCTTTGAGCACACAACTCAGGTTCCTGCATGAGAAGAGTGAGCATCCACAACTCTGGCAGTGCAGAGACACAGGATATTCAAGGATAATGCAGGGCAGGAGCTTGGCTTTGGGGATCTGAGTCATCCTCTGCAGGAGGGTCCTTCTCTCTAACATGGACAGTGATCCTGCAGAGAAATGCATCCTGAACAGGGTGACACATGACACTTAAAGCTAAGTGTGGGCTACAACACCTGTTCCTAGGGAGTCAGCACATTACATCCACATCTGGTTTGTTGGGGTTTTTTTGTTTGTTTGGTTTAAATTTAAATTGGAATCTCTCCCTTTTGTTTGTACATGTAAAAGTCTAAAAGTCTTTAAACAGTTATAATACATATTCTATTGTTATAATAATTTCTTCCCCAGACTATGTTTAAAAAAACCCCAAGCAAATCAAACCCCCCAACCTAATTCCCAAAATTCATATTATAAGAATTGCTTTCTTCTGTAAAAAGAAATAATTAGAATATACACAGTACAGAAGCAGGGACTGAGCTGACACTACCCTTGCAGCACTGCCTTCTCCCACACTTCTTTCTCTTTCTTTCATCTTTCTGTCTGAACCCCTGGATGGCAAAGAGTTTGAAGGAACTGGGAGAGGGACAAACCTCTCTGGGAAAGGAGGAAGATGCTCCAAGATGGAGGAAAGCACAGGGACAACAGGCCAAGCAGTGCCAGTGCCTGGTGGGAAAGGATCTAGGGAAGCAGGTTGGCTGCTCCTGCAGGAGGTGCCTTTGCCATGAAGACTCTCCTGTCTGGCAGTCTGTCTCCTTAGAGAT